GCTGATGGCACACTAGAGAGATATAAGGCAAGATGCAAAAGGGTTTACTCAAACGTATGGCATTGACTACCAAGAAACGTTTGCATCTGTGGCCAAGATGAATACTGTCTGAATACTACTCTCACTAGCAGCCAAGTACAATTGGCACCTGGAACAACTGGATGTGAAAAATGCATTCCTACATGGGGACTTAGAAGAAGAGATATTTATGGAAATACCACCAGGGTTTAAAGAAAAATCTGAAGGCAACAAAATCAAAATATGCAGACTGAAAAGGCTCTATATGGGCTCAAACAATCACCAAGGGCCTGGTTCGGAAAATTCTCTAAATTCATGCTCTTGAATGGGTATCAACAGAGTCAAGGGGATCATACACTATTCTTCAAACACTCAGACTCAGGGGAGTCACAATATTTAGTGTATGTTGATGATATTATTTTGACTGGAAGTAATGAAGAGGAGAAAGCCAGTTTAAGGAAAAATCTTGCTAAGGAATTTGACATCAAAGAACTTGGGAGACTAAAATATTTTCTCGGAATTGAAGTAGCTCATTCCAGCAAAGGAATCTTCATTTCACAACAGAAATATATCAAAGATCTTCTAAGAGAAACAGGTAAACTTGCCTGTAAGCCAGCACCAACACCAGTAGAACCTAATCTTAAACTGGGAGAAGCTAAAGAAGATCCAGATGTAGATAAAGGGGCCTACCAGAGACTTGTAGGGAAATTGATCTACCTCTCCCACACTAGACCAGACATAGCATTTGCTGTAAGCATGGTCAGTCAGTTTATGCAGAATCCAAAGCAGATTCACATGCAAGCGGTAGACAGGATATTGCACTACCTTAAAGGAAGACCAGGAAAAGGAATTCTCTTTAAGAGAGATCGTGAAATAACTCTAGAAGTATACACGGATGCTGACTACGCAGGATCACCGGTTGATAGAAGATCTACCTCTGGGTATTGCACATTTCTTGGAGGTAACCTAGTTACATGGAGAAGCAAGAAACAGAATGTGGTGGCAAGATCTAGTGCAGAAGCAGAATATCGAGCTATGGCCTTGGGAATATGTGAGCTACTGTGGAT